TTATAATGTATTAAAAATATATATCATTAAAAAATAAAAAAATAAATCTTATTTTTTAAGCCGGGACCGGCGGCCTATAACCAGTTATGAAGTAAGTACCTTGACCGGTCCTACCATTTTCGAGCGGGACCGGTTATGGCCGGTTAAGAGAAAACTTGGGACCGATTAGGCCCGGCCTAGCCCAGGACTGGTTTTTAGCCATCACTAGTTTACGCCTCGACTAATCCTTTGAGTTCTAGAGAACAACTAAAAAATTCCCTAGTGAGCTAGTGGCCTTGGACTTGGAGCGATATTGGAAAGAAACCCGAAAGTCCCAAGCCTGACCATTTAAATTTTGTATTACTTTCTTATTGTTTTTGGATGTTACTCGAGTGTTTTTTACTTCGTTTCAGTTGTCATTTGCAAAATGTGTGCACAAATTGATGATATGTTTCTCTCCGTTATGAAAACAATGATAGTTTGATGACCAAGAAATTGGAAATAAATCAAACCAAAACCAATATAGTAAATCTTATACATAGTAGGATCTAAAAGAAAGTAGAATAAAGTAGAATTATCACAAGGGTGGTGCCTGATTGGTTTGAGCTTGATTCCAAAGGTCAAAAGTACCAGGAGGTCTCAGGTTCAAATCCAAGGAGGAATAAAAATCTTCTTGTGGCCACGGAGGTTCAAATGCGGTGACTCCTACATGCAAAGCAGGTGGTCGTCCTGGGATTAGTCGGCTCGCATAACGAGTTGGATATCCAGGTTAATAAAAAAATAGAATATATAGACCTTACTTTTATTTTAAATAGCAAAATGGTTAACCAAAGTGACGTGTCACACAGTCTGTTCTTAGGAATTGGGATCTGGAGATGATTCGTGAACTGGATAATCTCGTTGGATCGTAAAAAGTTCATTTTCCAAATAAAATATCGTCCCTTATAGCCTTGGGTATCACAAATTTCATATTGGGATAATCCAATAGAAACTCTTATCTCAAAGGTTGTGAGATTGAGTCCTTATATACACCCAGATTCTAGACTACATATTTATATTAGAGACTGATAGATATGAACAGTTATAACCGTTAATGGATAGTATTTGGGAGCAGTCAGAATCAGAAGGAACGCCTAGAGCTTTGATTCCACGGTCCAGATTCTAGACTACAGAGTTTTGTGTTTCGACAAACTTAAATATGAAAATAGTTTTTCTAAAGATAGTAAAATAATAATAATAATAATAATAATTTTCAATTAATAACTATAATAAATATCAAATATAATGAAAAGGACAAAAAAAATGAAAAACAAAAAAGACTAAATAAAAGATTTGTATTATTTAAACGCCTAAAAAATATGCAATTAAAAAAATATGTGAATAACGTGTTGATATGAATAGTGGTTGAGATAATAGATAAATAGTGTCAAGATGGTGTCCACGGTTGCACTCTTTTGAACTTAAATATGGTACAACCGTACAAGTCTTCATATTTACGATAATATTTCGAAAACTACATTAAACAATAGAATATGTCCGTCCGATAAAGGAATACTAATAGATTTGAAAGTAAGAGGCCGTTTACCTAAACACTTACCTGGTAAGTACTTACCGATAAAATTCAACACTATCGCTTACTTACCGAGTAATATTTTATTTACTAAAACGCATCGTATGCAACAATTTATCCCGGTAAACGCTAACCATGGTAAGAGTCCTCGTCCTCACTTACTGGGTAAGACTCTCGATCCTTGCCTTCGTTCTTACCGGGTAAGATTTTTAGTCTTTGCCATATTCATCCGGTAAAGTAAAGTGACTTGGTAAGCGCTTACCATGGTAAACGGCACCTTAGTGTCAAGACGAAGTGACATTATCTAATGTTATGCATACGTTAAACTTTTAAGTTGATCAAGATTAACCACTTATGAAATTACCTATTTTTCATTTTTACAAGAAAATATCAATAACTACCCAAAACTTCATGACAAGACCACAGATGGAGACATGTCGATGGAAATTTGAAACAAAATATTTCTTACCAATTTTATATTTGAATAACGAGTTTGACCTAAAAATGTGCCAAAACGGAGCAACCATTAGTTACCGTTGTATATCTACTCAAGGGAGATACAGATCCGTAAAACTAACGAGATACAGATCCATAAAAACAACAAAAAGAAATGAGGATTTAGCATTGCAAATTTGGTAGATAAATTATCAAGGCTTGGATTCAAATATCTTGGTCCAGGAAATGCATACGGATTACCCATTCTTGATCTAATCGGGATCTTATTTCCAACAAGATCATATATGTCCAATAATATATGAATAAAACAGTACAAAGGAATAATATTGTTACAATTCAAACAGAAAGAGTCTCAAAACGTGAAATTCTCACAAGTTTCTAAACTGTTATAATTTCTTTCTCAAAGTTAAAGGATGGAAAAAAACACGTGGAAACGATTATTTAGGGGCGGATTCATGTAGGGGCTAGGTGGGCTCGGGCCACTGCTTAAACTAGTCGGACGTAGTACAACTTTAAAAGGTGTCACAATCTTGATTTGATGAGCGCCATCAAAGGGACATTGTAGCAGAAAAATGAGATACTGCAATAGCACATCGAAGTTCAAATTAACAAGCTTTGATGGCTAACAAATTCATAAACGTCATATTCCACAGACACAATGGATGCATAAGATGAAACTGATAATAGAAAAGAATAGAAAATCCAACCAATAATCACTGAACCCGTATCTAGTGTCTCACAATCAAACCCGAGTTGGATTCTAAATAAATCGAATTTATTTTACTTGTAAACCCGATTATGACACTTTGAATCAATTTATTAAATGTTAAATTATTCGTCAAATTATCGTCTTGGAATAATTAATTTTAATTAATTAATGCATTAATAAAATAATATTTAATTAAAAACAGAATCCAATTTAATTAGTTAACTCCTTAATAATCTTTTTAATTTCTTTATTTAGAATTTAAATGAAAAAAATTCCCAATTAAAGATGACATTCAGGATTCAGCCAATTTCAAAGCCCATCCACTACCAGATATTCAGGCCCAACAGCACCATTTTCAGCCCAAGTCGCTGGGAAAACACAATTTTTTTTCTTCCATTTTCTTCTTTTTCAAAAATATAGCTCTAATGTTAATGATCTTTGGAGCCCAAACTCAAACCAAGCAGGCACCATCCTTGTGATTACGAAGGTTTAAATGCGGTGACTTCGGACTACCCACAAAGCATGTGGTCGTCCTGGGATTAGTCGGCTCGCATAGATGGTTGGATATTAATAAAATAAAAAAAATTGTACTGTTGTCGGTTTAAAAAAACTTATCAACTACAAGATATATTAGGTATTTTTATTTCTATATTTATTTCAATTTCATGTTAATATCGGATTTTATTTTCTAGAACGAGAAAATAATACAAGTAAAAAGAAGAGAGAGAGAGAGAGAGAGAGAAAAGGGCATTGTGGGTTTGGAAACCATTGCGGGTTCCATTGCGGTTATATGGAAACCATGCATCTTGATGAAAAATGTTTGCTTTGTTTTTCTTGCCTTTTTTTTATTTCAGTAGATAACGGATTTATTGAATACGCATTTGAATACGAGATAATCTTTTTATACCTATTTTTAGTAAGAAATGTTGGTTGTTTCATGTTTTTATGTCAGTTAGATGGGTTTGTTAGACATCCATCCATCTGGGTTACGCTAATTTTCCTATGTGATTTTGGGTGTTCTTGAATGAGTTTTAGTTTCTTTCAACGATGGATTTCTTGATTTCAGATCATCTTTTTGATGCTCGCTTTGGGTTCTTAGTTCACAATAATATTATTTACCATTTGATGTTGATAGTTCTTGAGTTCTTAGTGGATAGCTATTGTTTTTAGGCGACAAGGATCGGAGGGGGTCTTTTTTTATACAATTCATAATATTATCTATACTCCCTTATAAGCCAGATTTGTCAAAAGTCTTAAAAACAACTTTTAATGCACAAAATATTATACATTTATGAACAAAGTCTTAAAAGTCTTAAAAGCAATTCATAATGCATTAAGTACTACTACTTTATGCATTTAGTTTAAAAATCTCTTAATTTACAATTAAAATAACATATAGTACAAGTTATCAATGCACAATATTACTTTTTCTTTTCATGTTCCCAAAATACTTTTGTCACTTTTGACTCATGTCTTCACTCTCCCATATCTCTATGTCTTCTCCCCATCCCCCAAGGTGAGATTCAAAATAATATTCATCATAAGTCATTCATTCATCTCTCATTCAATTGCTTTAGAACTTTCGGTCTCGCTCTCGATCTTTTGATTATTTGCTCTTGGTGTAAATCGAACACATTTGTGGAGTCGTTTAAATGTGTTGGATTTTAAACTGTCATACAATTTTTTTCCATCGATAGACTGTAATTGGAATCATAAATCTTATTTATTCAAATTGTATTAATATGTAAAGATCAAATGTAACTTATATCATCGTTAAATCTTCTCTAATAAAACCAGTGAAACTTCAAAATCGGTAAAATTCATGGCTCCCGCTGTATTGTGCGGGTACACAACTAGTAATATATATAACCATATAATATGTTTTTTTTTAAAGTTTAATAGAAAAATAAGAAAACAAGTAATATGACTAAAATACCTTTAACTAAATTGGACGTAACGGAAAAAGTTAACGATCGTTAAAAGAAAGAAACGAAATCTGTTGAGAATCGACAAACGTAAAGATCAAACCTGTTAAACTAAAGTTTGAGTGACAAAAACCACTAAAAGTAACAAATGTTAAGGATCAAAAGTGAAATTTACTCCTAACATTTATAAATAAAATTAACACAGAACAAACGTGGTTAGAAAAAAACACATTACTTTGCAAGAAGTGGATTAATCTGTGTTCAATCATTGGATTTAAATGTAGATCCGATCGAATTTTGCGAGCCCCCGGTGACCAAAATAATTCTTGTATTGAATAAAAAGTAATAAAACAAACACAAACAAGCATCCATATCTATCCCAAGTGATACTCCAAGCATCTCATCTCATGTGTGAAAGCTGTTGCAGCACATCAATGGCATCCTAAGCTTTCTCATCAAAGATTCTTCATTGATTCAATCAACAACTCCATTCCTTTTCCCACTCTTTACCTCAAAAGTTCTATCCAAACTTTACCCACAACAATTTCTCCTCTTTCTTTCTACTTATAGATAATGCCGATTCACAAACAACAACCGATTCCTCCGCCGGTGATCGGAAAGATCGGTTACTACACCGTATTTGTTACGCCTACCCCTAAACCCTCATCTGAATCATCTCCTGTGCGGGATTCGGATTCTCAGAAGAAAAAGAATTGTTCTCCGGTTCAGCCGCCGCCGCTTCAATACGACAAGACTGCTTCGTCATACGCCTCCAACTTCGGTTTCTTTTGGGACGCCGTCGCTAAACTTCAGAATGGTAGCGTTCTTTACTTGTACGATTTGAATAGATTTAGAGGGAATTTGGCGGACATGTTCTCATTTTACGAAATTCAATTTCAGACAGATTTGTTGTTTGGTTTTTTTTCTTCGTCTTCTTGTTTAGTAGCTAATCGTTGATGAGTTTTTTGTTGCATTGTTTTGTCTGTTTCCAAACTGGTAGTTGAACTCACTCAGAGTGGAATCATTTAGGTGTGTTGCACAACTTTAATTATGTAGCTTAAAAGTGGAAGATCGACCACAAAAGGAAGACATGATTATGAGAAGATTTATTGTCTGATAGTGTAATAAAACTTTTTGATGCTAGGATGCCTATTATATGATCTAAACGACCTACAAAACCTTGGTCCACCTCAGATGGGAGGTTAAAACACAGTGATCTTAGAATTTATGCCTTTAGGTTCTTTTACATGTTTGGGGACATCTGACACCTTTGCCAACCTTCCCTTGGTTTGTGCAATCATCTCCCCAGGAGGGTTTGGTCCCAAAAGCTGCCCATATGTGCAAAGTAGGAGATCACCACTTAACTATCTTCATTGATGAAAGCTGAAACAAAAAAGCTGGTTGGCCCTCTACAAAGTCATATTTTCTTCAGCTTAAAATACGAAGGTTGGAATAGAAGTACTGGTAGATCAGCATGCTATCTTCACAAAGCTCGATGTTCTTGAACAACCTTATTCTTAGGGCCAAATGTTGATGACTTGATGCTGATTGCCGTACTCCCTTATAGGCTCACTACAAATCAATTGATGCAAGAGATATTTTCTTCTCTAATCCAACTGAGGTGAGACGTAAGTGAGCAACAAAATGAGTGTTTAGCTTGTGTAGAAGAGGAGTGAAGTCTTTTACCTTGAGCTGATGAACATAATACTTTTAGCTATAAGAAGGTGGGTGAGTGTAAAAAATGAGGACTTCAGGTTTTAAGTTTTCTCATTTTTGTTTGTATTCGGTTGGGCAGTTTTCTTTTGGTTTGGGTCCCCATACTAACAATGAAAAAGGCATTTTTCTTCTTTTCCACCTGAATATGACGGTACAGATCAAGGTATGGGGTTTGTAAGTCCTCTCTATCACTACTCCATTCAAATCATTGGAGTCTGTTATGATTTTGTTGCCAAGGGATTTGATTGTGGCTTGAAGTTGCCAGGACATGGACTTTTGTAATTAATCGAACCTAAGAGTGTGTTCTGTAATTCTGTGATACCACAGTGATTGTTTATGTAAACCCTTTCTCTACAGCACATTCAAATTTGGATGACTATCTGGCACATTGGTTTGGGCTGAATCAATCAAAATATCAGTGGGCTTTGGATGATTACTATGAAAATGAGAGCATGGTAAGTTTTCATCTTCTGGCATTTTCTGGTACACATATTTTTGATAAAATTATGCTCATGTTATGATTTATCATTAGTTTGCCTTTCTTGCTTGGTGTTGGTGGGTGGGTCCAGCATTGCACGCAAATGACCTTATCTTTAAGCCAGAGTTAATGTATATTACAAGTAATTTATTGTCCACTCACACTTGATCACTCATCATAATGAAATTTCTTCCATCATTAACCTTAATCAACTCCAACTGTGCATGATAAAGTAGTTTAGCTCATAGTAACTGTTTGCCACCCAAGCAGAATGGAGGTTGAACTTGGTGGATATCTCTTCTGGTTAATTGAAAGATTCACAAGTTGTCTGGGATGAAGACATTGACTTTTGTATTTATGCTTGGGTGATTGTTCTCCATTATAATTGAATTAATGCACCATTGTCCATAGTAGCCGTGTCTTATCTTAAGAACGCTAAACTTATTGTTACATGGAAACATCTTGTCGGTTTGCATATCAAATTGAATTGTAGATTCATTTCCACTTCTCCTAAAGTGATTTATATGGTATGCATGCATGTAAATGGTAAAACACAAAAAGTAGGCATTTAAAAATGTGTAAACAAAAATATACTTTCATTATCGTGAGAATCTTCTCTGGTTCCTGTTACTCATTCATTACAATTTTAACAACAGGCAAGCAACCAACATAAAACTTTTATAATTATTGGCTACTAGTAAGTTTTTGGATCATGAACTCTACACGCAAATCCACCAAAGCTTCACAAAGTTGACACGAGATCCAGGGTACAATTGTATAGAATCATATAATACATGAAATCTGAGGGTGATTTGGCAATAGGAGATTCACCAATGGGATATCATTGCTTAGTTTCATGAATGGATACAAACCGTAGAATTTAAATGGTGGATTGGTATAATTATGACAACTATGCATAGTGTCATCAATTTAATTACTTCCAAAGTTCCAAGCACCTGGCAGCTTTAGCAACAACTATTTTTCCTCAGCTGTGCTAAAACTCTGAAAGGGAACACTAGATACAGTGAGAAAATACAAAAAGATAATGTGAACACTTCGTTTCCTGTTTCTCTCAATGCTTGGATATTGCTTTATTCACTTCAATAGTTATATATGAAGAGAGTTTCTCTTTTCAAAGGAGCTCAAGGAAATTTCTAGACAAAGAAACTTCTAGATTCTACTACATTGCTTCCTAAAACTACAAACCTCATGAACGATCTAGAATACATGAGAATCCTAGGTTAAAGTAGGGAAGACCAAAAGACTAGTTTTTGCTAGAGCACGTTAGTCGCTTCTAGGATGTTCATGACACTTCCAGGGTGAATGCTGATTTGAATCTGCGTGCGACTGTTGCATGTCTTATCTGTACTTGGGACACTTGGGATGTGACACGAGTCTCTAAACAGTTACACCTTTTACCCTCAAATTTTCTACACATTTATAGCATTCAAATATGTAATGATATTCTATGTGCCATCTTTAGTCATTATTGATCATCCGTTCATGTGGTTTGGAAGTACCATTGTGATTCCGTATTATTGATGCTTGATTCTTGTGAAACATGTTAACCTCAGGAGAAGGTTGAAAGAACAGCTAAAGATATACCCAACAAAGCACAAAAGTAACAAGTTTGTTTTGTAGGTAAGCTTTTGAATAGTTTCTGCTTTCACTTGGCTTTAGTTTTGGATGATTACCAAAAAGATCAATGTACTATTGGCCATTTTCCACAAATGATCTTATCTTTCTAGCCAATTTGATAAAATTTCTTTCTAACATTAACCAGCAAAATAGTCAGATGTCAAATCTTCTGTCTTGTCCTTTCCTTTTTTCTTCTTTTCGGTTTTCTTTTCTCAGTTTAATTTTATAGTTTGGCAACTTATCATTTAGAAGATTTGACACATAAGTTGTCTAAAGCCAGGGGATCGCGACAGAACTCTTAAAATTTCAACTGTATTGCAACATCAGCTTTATGGTTAAAGTGACTGGAACTTTTTGTGATTATTTGTCTACTTAGCAAAAAAACTAAGTACAAGATCAAATTGGCAAACTGGCTGTGGCACGTTTCTCTTTTTGATAATTAATCCTTTTTGTATTTTAAGTTCACATCTTTTACTTATAAGGCAAATCTTGGAACTATGAGGAAGGATTTTCCTTTGTGACCAAAAGGTCACAGGTTCTATCTGCAGAGACGTTCTCCTTGCAACATGTAAGGGAACGAAACAGAGAGTTATTTCCTTGAACTTGCAAAGATGCAGTAATTAATCTTATTACTAATTCTTCATTTTCTTTGCATGATAGGTTTTGAGCAAGGGCACCTTCAAGAACATTGTTCACTACATCCATCTGTCAAAACATCACATAATGGGAACTTCCATTGGTTGTATTGGATCAAATGTTCAAATTTACGGTGATCTGATCATGATTCTTTTAGTATTGCGAGCATGGGGCATTGTAACATTTTCATAATTATAATGTTTTACCTTAGCAACCGCCAAAGATAGTCTAATGGCGTGAACTCTAGCTATAGATTTACTTGTTCCATCTGTACGTCATGAATGAAAGTTATTAAATGTGCCATTGAGCACTTGTTGTTGCTTTCTCACTGGAGTCAAAATTTTAATACTTTTATCTTACTTCAAAGAAGATTGGCCTGCTTTTCCAGATCTGTAAGCAAAATGGCAACTTCATGGCATGAAGGCATTCAGTTGTTGGTCCAAGTAAGCATGAAACTGTTATTTTCCCTTTATGTTCCATTTGCAGCATAGAATAACAACCAATGATTATATATTGTTTCGTGAATGTAATTCTTGCTTGTAAAAAGTTGTAGCAATTCTAGTTCGATTTGGGCTTTTGGAGTAGTTTCATGAACTGTTAGCAGTAGCATTTTTACCTTCTGTATTATCAATTTTATCAAGTTTGTGTTATTCACAGGTATATGGTATACTTAGCCCCACGATTGGTGATTAAGAATACTGCTGAAGAGATCATCCCGAAGGTGATGTTTACAAACATTGGAACTTGCCCTGAAATTTCCTCTTCTCCCTGTTTGAGAGCTACTGTTTTGTTTCATGTGTTTGTCGTATGTTGAAGTTTTTGGACCTGGTAAGCATGGTTTCTTTCTTTTATTTTACGAGATGTCATTGCAAAAAAGGTGTACCAGAGCCAGCTACAGTGCATGCCATGTTGACCATAATTGTACGGTGAATGCTGATAGTTTACATCCCTGTTTCCATGGCTTGTTTTCATATTAAAATGTGATTTTTCTTTGGCTAGGCTTCGACAACTATCTTCAACTATTCATCAATTGTCGAAGCATGACATTAGTCAAAGGAAAAGATGGAGAAACCCCCTGTCAAGAGAATAGTTGACTCCTGTAGATGGTCTTTGTACGTTACTTTCATTATTGAATTTGGAGGTGGTACTAAGGCCGGCCATATATATCCAAGATATATTAGTATAAAAATCATCACTAAATGTGGTGTAAAAATCTTTCGTAGGTAGCAAAGTAGGTCTTATTATGATTGTAGACATGTATCCCTAGCTAATTTTGACTCCTCCACATCATAATTTTACCAACTCATTCATTAATGAATATGTGTTTTAGCTATTGGTTTCCCATGGGGGGGTTGGATCAATGATATCAATTGAGGTTGTTATTAGTGGTGGTTGTAGTTGACTTAATGGCTGTTTGGTTGGTCTTTCGTTAAGTCCTGTATAGATAAAGCTTTCTGGTGTGGATTAATCTGTCTGTATAGATTGGGAAGGTTTTTGTTTGGGAGGGTTTTTCATAGATGGAATGAGCATGTTTTTTAATTGGAAAAGACAGGTTTGGAAAAAACCTGGCTTTCTGCATAAAGCTTCCCTTAAAAGCTTACTGAATAAGCCACTTTCTATATTATTAAACCATTATCAAACATACATGTATAGCCGGCCAAATAAGCTATGAGTCCCATTAAGAAAAGGCCGTTATTGATTTTGTAAGTCTTCAACTATATCTACTGTAATTGGGTGGATGATGACGTAGGTAATTTATTTCATTCTCTTCAACTAATGAAATTTCTCCATCACTTGATTACTTTCTTCATGTTAATGGTTTCTATTTTGCAGTTTTTTTTTATAGTGATAAGCGTCATTACTTATGTATGCAATGGAAGAACATTCACCATGAAAATGAAGCTATTCAATTACGACTCCCGCTTTATTTCCGTTACCATAGCTGATTTCCTGGAGAACATGGAAAGGGAAAAGCCCATCCGCTTCACCTCTCAACACCTAAAAACAACCACCGATAACTTCACTTTCCTGTTGGGTTCAGGCAGCTTCGGGACAGTTTATAAGGGAGTCTTTAGCAACGGGACGACTGTAGCTGTCAAAGTACTAAATGGTACCTCAGACAAGAGGATCGAAGAACAATTCATGGCGGAAGTGAGCACCATGGGAAGAACCCACCACTTTAATCTGGTTAGGCTTTATGGGTTTTGCTTCGAATCAAGTTTAAGAGCTCTTGTATACGAGTTCATGATCAATGGGTCTTTGGACAATCACTTGTTTAAAGCCAACAAGGGGGATATTTTAGGGTTTGAGAAGCTAAACGAGATCGCACTAGGGACTGCAAGAGGCATCGCATACTTGCATGAAGGATGCCATCAGAGAATAGTCCACTACGATATAAAACCAGGCAACATACTCTTGGATTCAACATTCTGTGCAAAAGTAGCAGATTTTGGTTTAGCCAAACTTTGCAACAGGGATAACAGTCACATAACATGACAAGAGGACGGGGAACCCCGGGCTACGCTGCACCCCAGCTGTGGCTGCCTCTTCCGGTTACACAGAAATGCGATGTTTATAGCTTCGGAATGCTGCTTTTTKAGATCATCGGGAGGAGGAAGAACATGGATGCGAGTCTTGATGAGAGTAAAGAGTGGTTCCCAGTATGGGCGTGGGATAAATATGAAAAGAAACAATTGAAGGATCTGATGATGGTTTGTGTTGTCGAGGAGAAGGATGAAGAAGTTGTGGAGAGGATGGTTAAGGTGGCTCTTTGTTGTGTTCARTATCGGCCCGAGAATAGGCCGATGATGAGTGTCGTCGTCAAAATGTTGGAAGGCGGATTAGACGTGTCGGATCCGCCTTTAAACCCATTTTTGCATCTAAAATCTGGGGTTGGTGAGGTAGCTGATTCTTTGGGTCAAGCAACATGGAATTCTGAAGCAGTCACAGAAGCTACCCTAGAAATGGATATGCCTCTAACAAGGAATAACGAGATCACGATAGCCTCAACCTAATGTGTCCTCAAGTACCGTTACTCATGATTAAGCTGTATTCGGGACTRTTTACTTTTTAAGCTAAACGATCTTCCAATAAGACAGTATTTTCTTCGATTCACGTTTGTCTTTTTGTTGTTCAAATGCCATGATCTTAGTTTAAATATTTAATAATGTAACTTTATTTATCTAAGGGYCGTTTACTAAACGYTTACCCGATAAGTATTTAYCGGGTAATTTTYCTCACTGGATGAACATGGCAAGAACCAAGTATTTTCCGACAATTATATATGGACTGCAGGAATAAAAATTCATATCAATAAATTTGTAACACCAACAAATATTAATCACCTATTATAAACCCCACAATTTAACTATTCAAGAATCCAACTAACCTAGAAATTATCAAAATCGAAGTTTTATACAACCCGATCCAATTATGGGTCTGTATTAGCTCCAYCTTGATTATTATAATATTTAATAAGTTCTATACAACCCGATCCAMTTGAGTCCGAACTCACCTAAAATGGCRTACTAGCTAACTAGCCTAGCTGACTAGGCATGGCATGAATGGACCAATTTACGATTAAGCAGGCTTGCCTGACCTCAGTTACGGAATAAATTGAAAATGATAAGACTTCAGGAAGTGCTTATCGACCTTAGTCGTCTACTAGGAGATAAGAGTGTTTTTCCTTGGCGATATAAAATTCATAACAAACTACGTGATCCTCCCAATGAAGCCAACAACCGGTTAAGAACGGCGATGACCTATGTTTCACACGGCGCACGATTCCGTGGATAGTTTAATTCAAGATCGTTGAATAAAGAGGGATAAATCTTTCTTTATCCTTCATATTGAATGTAAGGTTTAGGCTTTATCCAATAGTTGTTAAACTCGAGGGTGGTAATAAACTGAAGTTGCTCAGTCTTCTATCCGTTTTTCAAATTTGGATTGTATAACGTTATAAAAATCAGTTAAAGAGATACCTTTCTCATGACAACCTTCCTATGAACTTTCGTATTTAAGGGGTACCTTTCTCGTGTATCGAAATCGTTAGCCTCGATAAACATATGATTATCGTCTTTCTAAAAACTTCTAGATTGTGATATGCCGGTATAAAATCAATTTCTTTTAATGTGAAAATGTATTATTTTAGCAATTTTTATGGAATATAATTTAATATATATATATATATATATATATATATTATCTTATAAACCAGATTTATCAAAAGTGTTAAACAATTTTTAATGCACAAAATACTATACATTTATGCATAAAGTCTTAAAGTCTTAAAAACAAATCATAATGCGTTAAGTACTACTACTTTATGCATTAAGTCTTAAAATCTCTTAATCTACAATTAAATAACATATAGTATAAGTTACCAATGCACATTATTATCTTTTATTTTTATGTTTTCAAGATACTTTTGACACCTTTCACTTATGTCTTCACCCTCTCATACCTCTATGTCTTCTCCCCATCCTCCAAGGTGAGATTCAAACTGATATTCACCATAAGTTATTAAAAGTTCTCTCATTCAATTGCTCTAGAACTCTCAATCTCGCTCTCGATCTCTTGATCTTTGCTCATGGTGTAAATCGAACATATTTGTGATGTCGTTTAAATATGTTGGATTTTAAATATATTGGACTTTAAACTGTCATACAATTTTTTCATCGATAGACTGTAATTGGAATCATAACTCTTATTTATTCAAATTATATTAATATGTAAAGACCAATTGCAACTTATATCATCGTTAAATCTTCTCTAATAAAACCAGTAAGACTTCAAAATCGCGGCTCCCGCCGCATTACACGGGTACACAACTATATAGGGGCTTAATCAAATGGGAACTGTTTTGTTTGTGGTAACCGTGAGATCTAATCTCAACCACACATCCTAATAATCAATGGTTAAAATTGAAAGGAATCTTAATTAATGTAATTCCAAAAATAAATTACTGACATTTAATGACATAATGTAAAGAAGGGCAAGATGATCATTTTTTTTAAATTATTGAGCCGGATTTGAGCGCGCGCTACAAATTTGTTAATATTCTTAATATACTCTTTTCAATTCGAATCCAAAATAGAGTGAAGATACTGTCTGGTTTTCGAGAAGGACACGATTTACCTAAACCCTAGAGTCGATCGCAAGTGGAACCATATACATAATCGATGGATGCTAACGAAAGATTAGGTAAAATCATTTTCTGTTCTACATTTCAATATGAAGAATCCTGTAAACATTGTTTCTGTTCTACATTTCAATATGAAGAATCCCGTAAACATTGTTTTTGTGCTACATTGTGATTACATTTAGG